GCGGGCGGCTCGTGAGGACCTCGGTCAGACGTGCACGCGGCTTCTAGAGAAAGGCTTTCTGGGGAAGGGGCGCAGCTAGAACAGTCTTAGGCTGCAAGGAGGACGAGGCGCGGCGTTCAAAGGCGAACCTGAATCGCACCCAGATCGGGAAAGCCAGGGCAGAAGGAAAGAAGGGGCCAAGGAGAATGAGAGAGAGAAAGGGGGAGCCAGGAGAAGAGGCAGGGGCGGTCTGTGCCCAAGAGCCCAGCGAGTCCACACTGACGGCCAGAGGGCCCGGGCCCCAGGGGCTTGGAGACTGGGACACAAACAAGCTTGCGTGAGATCACACTAACCAGCTTCTTCTGTGGAGGAAGCGAGAGAAGGTGAAAGGCGAGAGAGGAGAAGCAGCGGACAGGAGAGAGAGAGGGAGGAGACAGCGTCAGAGACACTTCCGAACCATCCAGAGGTGGGGCTGCCCCAGCCTGTCCCTCGAGGGCCCCAGGGCCGGGATAAGGCTCCCACGGGAGGCAGGGTCCATGCTACAGGCCAGCCAGAGGGAGGCCTCTCCGCCTGCCCCGCCCCTGGGCAAGGGCCGCAGCCTCACCTGGAACATCTGGATCACGTCCTCGCAGTTGCGCTGCTGGGCCACGTCGCAGAGTCTGGCGGTGATGTCGATGCGGCGGCAGATGTCCATGTCCACCTTCATGGCCTTCTCCTGGATCTTGGTGTCCAGCTCCGACAGGTTCTGCCCGGGGCACACAGGGATGGTGAGGAGACAGACACCCAGCACGCCCTGGGGGGGTCTCAGGGGCCTGGCGGGCGCCTCAGCATGCCCATCACGCGTCTCCGGGGACTCTGGCATAAAGTGGCCGGTGCGGAATGCACCCCTTCCCAGTGCCTCCCCACAGCGCCACGCTCAAGCAGGGCCTGGGCTGCTGGCCACCGGCTCCCTGGCTGGACGTGAGCCTTGAAGGGCACGGCCGGTGCCGAGGATGTGCGGGACTCCCGGATCGCCAGCAGGCCTCACGCTCCCAGAGCCCGTGCTCCCAGAAAAAGCGCCCACCGGAATCGTGAGCGGAGGCAGCATCATAACCACGACAACAGCAGGGAACACTTCTGAGCTCGGGTCAGTCACTGTCCCAAGTGCTTCGCCGCTTCACGGTCTGCAGAGTGCACGCCCCATCCCCCGTGCAAAGCCGAGCCTCAGAGGCAGGTGGGTCTCCGGCAGTCAAGGAATTCGACTAGGCCACAGCTCCGGGAGCTGCTCTCTCACGGCTCAAACCCCCGGCAACACCAAGGCTGCACGCCTCTGCGACAGGATGGCCCAGGCTTTCGCTCCCCCTTGCTCTCTGGAGCGAGGGAGGGGCGGGGCTGGACAGGGAAGGAGGAGACGCGAGGACAAGGGCAGGTGCTGGAGGCGCCACGTCAAGCACGGGAAGGGCCTGCCAGTCCCGGCTCAGGCGGCCTGGCGACAGCCCGCAGGAGGGGGCGGCACTCACGTTACTCATGAGCCCCTTGAAGACCACCAGCTCTGCCTTCAGCTGCTCCACCTTCATGGCCATCTCCTCCTGACAGGCATCAGCTTCCTGGGCTTCCTACGGTCAGGGGAAAAGCCTGGCGTCAGCGGCCCTGCTGACGCGGGAACGAGGCAAGGGGGACGAGGCGGGCCTGGCAGACGGGCACGGGGACACAGGCGGCGAGAGGGGCCCCTCACCTCCTGGAGCTCGTTGACACGCTCCTGCAGCTGCGTGCGCACCGTGTATTCCTCTTCCCACCTGGCGGACACAGGAGGGCAGAGAAAACATCAGTGCCCGTGCCCACCTCTGGTGCAGGCCTCGGGCCCAAGGCCTTGTCCCTGGCTGGGGAGGGCAGGGCCCAGGAACGTCGCCGGCCAGCTGGGCCGCCGCAGCTGTCAGGGGCTCCATGCTGCCTGGCACGTGCCGAGCTCCAGCTGCCTTCCCTGAACCTCCGGGCCTCTGCTGGGAGACACTTGGGAGCAGCTGCGGCTGCCGCAGCCTCTGGGGGGCCCATCCCCGCTCGGGCCCCAGCTCCGCCAGCGGCCTGGCCGGCCTCACTGCCCGCCGCCTGCCCACGCCAGACCCCGGGCCACCCGGCCCAGTCTCCCACCTTCAGCTGCACAGAGCCAGGCTCCTGCCTGCTGCCCGCACCAGAACAGAGCTCGCCGAGCCTGCTGCCCTGCCTCCTCCATTTAACCCGTGAAAGCATCTGCGGGACACACACCGCATCAAGAGGCGGTCAAGAGCCTGGGGCGGCGCTCACAGTCCTTCCCCACCAGCTCCAGAAACTGCCATCCGTGTGAGCCCCACCTAGCAGCCACAGAGACTTGCTGGGGCTGGCCTGAGGCTGGAAGTCCCCAGCTGCCCTGAAGCCGCGGACCGGAGGAACCTGGGCCGCAAAGCGCCAGGCCCCGGGCAAGCGAGAGGGAGTTGCAGAGGGGCCTCCCACGGGTGGCAGGTGAGAAGCAGCAGCAGAGTCAGAGACGGAGACCCCAGCGGGCTGGAGGACTCTCTCGGCCGCAGGGCCGGGCCATGGGCACGTTCCCGGGGCTAAGTCTGTCACACCTCAGGGGCCACGGGGGTCTGTGCACATTCCACATGGGGTGGGGGAGGGGGAGAGGCGGGGTCTGGCGCCTCGGCCGGTGTCCTGGCAGCACATCCCAGACCCTACTGCGACAAGCTCGGCACTTCCTGCCACGTTCTGGAAAGGCCTCGCCCAGTCAGAGAAGGAAGGGAACTGCACCAAGAGAGAAGCTTCCGCACGCAAAGGTGGGCAGAAGTGGCCAGGAAGACAGCAAGAAAACCAGAATCCAAGAGAACAGGCCTTTCCCCCTCCCCTCCGCCTTCCGCCTGCGGTGCCCTCCCAGGCCACCACCTCCCTGAGCCGTGTCCTGCTCACAGCCGCACTGCAGCAGTCCTAAGAATAACTCTGCCACATCTCCTCAGCTGCCCCTCCCGCTGGGCGGGGGAGGAGACAGGAGCCGGCCACCACCCTGCGGCTCCCCACAGCCTGCCTCGCCCCCCCAGCCTGGCTCCCTGCCCTGCCCCGCCGGTCCCCCCCACGTGTCCTCCCCCGTCCCCTGGCCTTCCCATTCACACAGCTGGGGCAGTGGAGGGCCTAGTTGTCTTTTCTGGCCTTGGCCTCTCCATCTACAACATGGAGGCACGGGATGGGCACCCCTTGCCCCTGAAACCCGAGAGTGCTGGTGGGAAGCAGCAAAGCTGCCCAGGACGCAGTGACCCTGGAGGACGTGCATGAGGGAGGGCAGGAAGCAGTCTGACAGCGAACTCAACAAATATAGGTAGAAACACGCAAGGACAGCAGTTAACGATTAAGATGAGTGAACTGGTACGGGGTAAGCAAGCTGAAAATGAATCATCTGGAAGCTCACGACAGTGCTATGTGCTTGCTCTCCAGCCGAACGTTCACACAGGCAGCTTCATTTGACCTCCATTTCCATCTGGTCACACTCACAAGGTTCCCTTTACGTGGGCAGAACGGATCAATTTCCATGTATTCTGCACTGACCAAACACCTCTCTTCCAAATAAAGTGTCCTTGAGTTGAAGAGAGAGCAGGGACCACTCCTGGTTTTTTTTTTTTTTTGAATTAGAGTCTCACTCTGTCGCCCAGGCTGAAGTGCAGTGGCACGCTCCGGGTCACCGCAGCCTCCACCTGCTGGGCTCGGGCGATCCTTCTGCCTCAGCCTTCCAAGTAGCTGGAACTACAGGAACACGCCACCACATCTGCCTAATTGTTTGACTTCTTGTAGAGATGAGGTTTCATCAAATTGCCCAGGCTGGTCTCGAACCCCTGGGCTCAGGCCATCCTCTCACCTCCACCTCCCAAAGTGCTGGGATTTTAGGTCCCAGGCCTGGAGCCAGCATACCAGGCCTGGGACCACTCCCATACAGGAAAGACTGAGGCTCAGGACAAAGGTCACACAAGGCAGGGGAACTGAAAATAAAGCCCAGGAGGCCTCAGTTCCCAGTTTAGTGCTCAAGCCACCCCCAGGCCTTCCGGGCTAAAGACAGGCGCTACAGTGTTGCTATAAAAGGACCGGAATGAGGGCAGGGGCTCTGGGCTGCGAGACACGAGATGAGGAACCGCCAGTGTCACATATCATTCCATCCCAGTCCACTCCACTCCGGGACTCTCTGTGCAGCAGTGTGCCGCAGAGCAATGAGCTAATCAATCCCCAAGGAAGAACTCTGTTGCCCTGGACAGCTGGACCAAGGACAAACACTCTTTCAGTTAAAAAAAAAATGCCCCTAAGAGCAGCAGTTGTTCCTGTGGTCATAGATGTCTTCCAGAACCGTCTCTGTTCTGCTGCTGACTGTGTTGGTTAATTCCTGCAGGGGCAGGCGAGGCTGGTTCTGGGTGGCACCTGAATGATGCTTTTAGGACCACTGAAAATCCCAAGGACACAGAACACAGGCCACAGCTGAGAAAGCCAACACGCAGAACTCGGGCTCAGAAGCCTGCCGATGCGCGATCTGGTAGACTCCCGCAGGTTAACCAGGTCGCCCAGCCCCAGCAGTGATTTCCTAGAACATTCAGCCCGCCCTTACCCACTGCTGAACCGGACGCCAGTCCCCCGCCCGCCACACTGGGCAAAAGTTGTTCCCAGGCCTGCCCACGAGTGGTCGTGACAGCTGACATGAGACCGGACACCCCCAAACCAAAGCCTGCTGTCACCCCCTTCCTCCTCAGTCATGTCAGCCGCTGAGTCTGCGAGGCACTGTCTCTGTCCTGGCTCCTGCCCTGTCTGCCTGGGGAGCAGCCACCCAAGGGACCCACTTGGTATCCAGCCGGCACTCCGGCCTCACAGCCCTTCTCCTGGCCCCTCGGGGCACTCCTCTCGGCAGGCCACGTCTTCATGGGAGAAGGCACTGGGCACCTGACAGTCGCAGGGTGTGCCCAAGTCCCCAACTTTCCCTGCTCTGCCCCTTCTCCTTGCCCTGGGGAATTCCCTTCCCTCTTTCTCTTCCCACTTTTCTTTAACGTGCTCCAAGCGATGCCCTGAGGTCCCGAAGCCTTCTGTGTGGAACCAACGCAGGCACGTGGCTCCTACCGATCTTCCTGTGGGAGCTCCTGGGCGGGGACAGGGTCGCCCGCCGTGCAGTGCAGGGGGCAGCCCCTTCCTCACCCATCCCTTCCCATTTCGCGCCATGCAGTCTCCCAGATTTCGGCTCCATCCTGCGTCTTCGGCTTCGGCTACCCGCGAAGCCTACAGCCCCACCCTGCGCGCAGGCCAGACGGACCTCTCAGGCCCAGGCTCTC